GAGAGAGAGAGAGAGAGAGAGAGAGAGAGAGAGAGAGAGAGAGAGAGAGAGAGAGAGAGAGAGAACAAAGGTTGCGGTTACCAGCCCCGCTGCTAGCAGGGTTGGTGACTACAACGTGCAGAGAATGGTGGGGGCAAAATTGCTTGGGCATCACTAAATAGTCGTTTTTGTCTTATTCTGCTTTGTTTCGTCACCATGTTGTCCCACCACAACTACAACTATAGAGTTGGGCCGCAGATGGGAGGCCATTCTTCATATCTCAGTGGGAATCTCTGGAACCTGCTTATTACAAGGCCAGAATGTAGGCCATTTCGATATCTTTGTGGAAGCCCGTTTGGTATTTTGTGTCTGAAAAAGCACAGTAAATTGATGTTTGTGCATCAAAGATGTGGGAATGTTTGAATACCCCTTAAACCTGTGGACTGTTGAAGAACAGACATGGGTTATAATCTGCCTAGACCCTCTCGGAAATTGGCTGAGTGCTGAATGTCTCGAGTCATGCAAGCACTCGCCACAGGCAAGACCTCCACACTGCAATACTTCGATGGCGACGTAAGATTTTTTTCTTTGGCAAGTGAAAACACTTCAGGCATGGGAGTTTGAGCATTACCACATCAAAAGGCAGCGACTTCCCTTTTTTTTTGAAGCACGAAGTTCATAGACTGCAAACTGTGATGATCATCCCACCATCCTCCATCCTGAACTGGTTTGTTAAGAGGTGGCAGCAGAAGAATGCGTTTTCCTCCCAATCATCATGCCACGCCATTCCTTTTCAGCTGTTTTTTTTTCCCCCCGGTCAAACGTCCCTTAAGGGTGTTAGTGGGATTGTGGGCTGATCTATTATACAGTCATACATAGCAGCATACAATCAGCGACTTTGATCCTGGGTCCTTCCTGTAGCATTCGGCATATCACAATCGAAGAAAGACTTTTTGAGCAAAAGTTTAATGGACTTTGTTCAGGTTTGTTGTCCGATGTTGACCGAGTATTCTGAAGGGCTTTGTTTGGGAATGTACTTGCTCTGAAGGAGGTTGCTATTGGATGTTGAGGAAGTGTTCTAAGGGGTTTTGCTGTCTGATTTCTGGAACTTGAGAAAATTAACCAGTGCAGATCCCTTGGTCCACCTCACAGTGACTGATCAGTTAATCATGGTTCTTCCAAATAATATACAACTCTAGAGAGCCATCAGGGTTTCCTGCCCATGGCCAGTAGGAAGTAAACATGTCCTTGAAGATCTGGCTCTCCTTAAATACTTTGTTTCGTGTTCTTGCAAGCTTGTGGCACTCAATGGGCGGACTGTTCACATGGACACCTAGGGTAAAAGACCTCGATATCCCGATGTTCTTTCTGGTAGGGTCACTGTTCTTGGTGGAGTCGGCGGTCACGTACGTCCCTGCTTGTGATTTAGAGAAGGTTACCGATGATGTCATGTACTCATTGGTCCCTGAATCAGTGGTCTTTTTCATGTTCATTCCTTGGTGAATTCTACTTGTGTGGTCTCGCTTTGTACCATCGGATTGTCTGTTCCCGGAGGCCTCTGACCGGCCACTCCTCTTTAATTGAGGCATCAAAATCCCTGTCGATGACGTCTTGCTCTGTTTTATCTCATGCGCTGCACCTGTGATTTTTAAGGCTAAGCTCTTGAGAGCCTTCCACATGCTGTGCTGTTCAGGCGCATCTTTTTCGAGCTCCATTTCATGAGCTAGCCGCTTTGGTGGTGCCTGGCAGGAAGAATCAGCACTGACGAGAGGGAATGCTGGTTCCGCTGCAAGAGAGTCTTCTTTAGCCTTCCACATGCTGTGCTGTTCAGGCGAATCTTTCTCGAGCTCCATTTCACGAGACAGCTGCTTTGCACTGATGAGGGGGGATGCTGGTTTTGCTGCAAGAGAGCCTTCATTAGCCTTCCGCATGCTGTGCTGTTCAGGCACATCTTTCTCAAGCTCCATTTCACGAGACAGCTGCTTCAGTGGTGCCTGGCAGGAAGAGTCAGTACTGACGAGGGGGGACGCTGGTTTTGCTCCAAGAGAGTCTTCATTAGCCTTCCACATGCCGTGCTGTTCAGGCACATCTTTCTCAAGCTCCATTTCACGAGATAGCTGCTTCAGTGGTCCCTGCCTGGAAGACTCAGTACTGACGAGGGGGGACATTGGTTTTCCTGCAACAGAGTCTTCATTAGCCTTCCACATGCTGTGCTGTTCAGGCACATCTTTCTCAAGCTCCATTTCACGAGATAGCTGCTTCCGAGGTGATGCTTGGCAGTTAGACTCAGTACTGACGAGGGGGGAAACTGGTTTTGCTGCAACAGAGTCTTCATTAGCCTTCCGCATGCTGTGCTGTTCAGGTGCTTCTTTCTCAAGCTCCATTTCACGAGCTAGATGCTTTGGTGGTCCCTGCCGGGAAGAGTCAGTACTGACGAGGGGGGACGCTGGTTTTGCTCCAAGAGAGTCTTCATTAGCCTTCCACATGCTGTGTTGTTCAGGCGAATCTTTCTCAGTCTCCATTTCACGAGAAAGCTGCTTTTGTGGTGCCTGCCAGGAAGACTCGGTACTGACGAGGGGGGACACTGGTTTTGCTCCACGAGAGTCTTCTTCATCACAAGGCATAGGAGTCATGACTACATCCTGGGATTCTACACAACCAATGATTCTGAGGTTTCCCGTTGTGTTTTCCCTGGTTTCAGTAAGATTATCTCTGCTGGGGTATGATGGCAGCATTGACTGCCAATTCAACTTGCGGGACAAGGTCGATGCGGAAACATCAAGTTTTGTTAGAGGAGTATCAGGTGCTGAAATGGCTTTCCGGTGCATAAAGTGCGATGCCCTCCATCTCCCGACTAGGACTGGTTGGCGTCCACCTAGCGGCAACTGAATGGCCTTATTATCAGTCGTCTCAGGCTGTTGCTTGTTCTCGGTGTCTAATTTCTCTTGAACAGGGTTTAATGAAGAAGTTACCTGCAGACCATATCCTCCTCTGTAGAACTGGAGTAGACCAGTGCCAGGGTCATCCGCATAGTGAACAAGGGCGCCACATGCCAAACATGTTTTCGATAGCTTATGACAATTTTGGGATGAGGGTTGAGGTGATACAGATCTTGACGTGAGAGTTTTGGACTGCAATGCTGCCTGCCTCACACGCATGGCCATCCCGCCTTGTAAGACGTATCTGACTCGGGGGCTGTTGCGGATCTTTCCACCAAAGGCGAGGTTGTACTTCTCATCTAGGGATCGACTCTCGTCTCCCACCTTTTCCATCTCGTCATCGTGTTCATCATCTTGAGCCGCCGGATGGCATACTCCACACAATCTCGGTCCGCCTTCGCATTTGCAGTCTGTCAAAACACGTAAGCTGTGGCATCCAGGTGCTAGGGACTGGAATGCTGGGAGGCCCTTTAATATCATATCGCTCACTTCCTGCAAGGACATGGCCCTTCTCTTAGAGCCAAACTTCAAACGGGACTTGTATCTGGTGTATCCTTCCATGGTCATCAACGTTTCCCACGTTGCCTTTGCCATTGTCGATGCCTGCTGTGAGAAACACTTACGTAACCTTAGGGCTTCCTTATGTGGCGCCACATTCCAGAAAAAAAATTCGATAGCTTCTGAAAAGTCTGGGATGATGGAGGAGGCGGCGATCCAGATCTCGGTATGAGAATTTTGGACTGCCTTGCTTCCTGCCTCACACGCATGGCATTCCCTCCTTGTAAGACGTATCTGACTCTGGGGCTATTTCGGATCTTCCCACCAAAGGCGAGGTTGTACTTCTCTTCGATCGATCGATTCTCTTCTCCCACCTTTTCCATCTCGTCATCACGATCACCGTCTTGCGCTGGATGACGTTCTCCACACAACCTCGGTCCTCTTTCACATTTTCTCAGTTGGTACACCCACTAACTGTTGAAATACAGACCCAAGTTCAAATCCAGATGCAATCAACTCAAGCGAATAAACTGACTCTGAATTATCTGGGGCCGATCAGCTCAATAAACTTCAATGATATCCCGACAGTCGTTGCCCTTCTAAAAAAAACCTTCCTAGCATACACTCCCTGCAGAGCTGCATGCTCATACCATACCTTTCGAGAACTCAGTCATTCCAGCATAGACACTCAGTTGACGAAGGACGTCTCTGATATGTTCCCACCTTCTGCTGTTGATCATACTCTCCCTTATTCATTACGTGTTTGCTGAGTGAGCCATAGCACTGCACATCGCATTTTCCTGCACTTCATAGAGCTCGCACTCAGCCGTCTGTCAGCAAACCACTGCCTTTTTTCCCCTCTTAATTCAAGAATTTCGTTCATCTGGCTTCATCTCGATTCGAACTGAGGTCTGCATTTCAACAATTTAGGGGTGTACCAACTGAACTAACCTCGTTGGTCGGCAAACCAGTTTCTATTTCTTTCTGCCTGCAGCTTCTGAATTTCCCATGCTGTTGATTCGTGCTCTGCAACCTCGCAGAGGGAAGGGCGATCTGCTCTGACTCCTCTCCTCAGTTAGAGCCACAGGGACACTAACCACCACTAACAGGGCCTTCTTATCTTTCACAAGATTATCGAACCTTGGACAGTTGCGACTTCGCTTCTTGTTATTATTATGTACTAGTTGGAACACTTGGAACTGTTTCTCAAGTTGTTGAAGTTCCTCACCAACTGCACTTGAATTGGATAGGTGCTACGGAATCCCGGGAATCCCACAGTCGCCGGCAGGAAATTGGGGCTGGAGAAGGAGGACCGGAATGTGCTGAGGAATTGGCTTCTCTATTTACTAGCAACTCGCCGGAAAGTCTGTCTGCTGAGTATGTGACAGATCCAAAGCCTGCACAGTGAAGCTGACGCAGCAGTCACTGACGGATTCTTTCTAGTCTCAGACCTGCATCACTTCCACCATGAACTGCTGCAGCCTGGCCCAGTCCTTTTCTTAAAGCACCAGTACATGGATGGCCCCAGCCAAGTTGAGAGTGCGATTGAGCCTCTCCTAAAATTCCGGAGGCTCGTGTGCCGTCGGTAAAAATAAATCCACAGCGGGCGGCCTCCGAAAGGGGCCTGCGGTCGATGGCTGGCATGTACTGCAGTGGTGGTTTAATGGGAAACATGCAAAATGACTTGTGACTGGGATCGAAATGCAGCTTCTTCGGAACGTCAAGAAGGGACTGCCGCATCTGTCCACAGCAAAAAAAGATCAAGAAGAGTGCCAGCGACCCGAGGTTGAAAACGCCAACCCGAATCGCAAATCTGTCTGGACTGACAAGCTTGCTGCTCACTTATCGGAAAGAGCCTGTAGATGTGCTACTCCCTCTCACCACGAACGCATTGAATGCATTAAAAAGGAATAAACGCGGACTAACTGTTGTCAAGTTTGGGTAAGCCAGTAAGTACACTGTAGAACCGGCTTACAAAAACTCACTGAGTGGATGAGCATGCAAGATCAAATGCATGTGCAGCCAGCTAGGTCTAACTTTGGAAGCTCTGGTGTGGACGTTTATACATATGAACGGTGATCAAATGATTGAACCAAAATGCTCCCTGCTCTGCCCTGTAAACAACCTTCCAAGAGGTCGCCTCTATTGCATATGAACGCTTGATCTTAGTCTCACGATCTAAGATCAAGGACTACCTTCTTAACCCGAAAAAAAAAGGTACGAATGTTCTATTTGACTAACCTCTGAAAAACGGGTTTTCAGATATCGCTGTTTCTCTTTTGAATAGAACATACGTCTGAATACAACGTACGTACGTTGTATTTGGGGTTTGCAGGGTCTGAGACATTGTTCTCTGATTTTTGCAAGAATTTCAAGTTTTCAAAAATTAAAATTTGGTTGTACTATCGAGGAGCCTTTTTCTAAAAATTGAAAATTCTCGTTTTTCGGATTAGCTTGGGGAAATCTAGAATCATGGGACTCTGGACCCGTTTTCCAGTAAAAGCCCAACTGGGTATTGGCCCCAGTACTCCGGGTTGAGACGTGGAGGGATTCCCGGCCTCCTTTTGCTCGTATAATGAAATCCAGTTCTCTTTTTTTTTTTTCTTTTTTTTTTTTAAGTTCCTTTAAAAATTTATGTTGTACAGTTGTACAACATTGCAATACAAAGAACATTAGCCTGAAGGTCCTGTCGAAATTCACAACCAAAACCAAATTCAAGGAAAAAACGAAAACTGACATGTGGTTAACTGGAACCACCACCTTCAGCCCCTGGTTAACAGATCCAGAACTGAAATTAGGGTTTGGCAAGCTTTTTTTTTTTTTTTTTTTTTTTTTTTCCCCACCTGTTTTTGTTTAAGGTCGAGGTTGATGTGTGCCAAGTTCGTTTTTTTTTGGGACTACTATTGAAAATACCTGAGAAACTTCTGCCTCTGGACTCCAGAAATGGTGCCGCGCTTGCGCTTCCGGTTAGCGCTAGAGCTGCGCTAAGTTTCGACTTCAACGCCCTAGCCGTGTCTGTATCGAAAGTGACGAAGCAGCCCTGACAACGACAGCAACGCCCTAGCTGAGGCGCCATAGCCCCGCGAAAGCCGGGTGAGGCCCGCTCACGCATTCTCAGAGCGCGCGCCTCGGCCGTCACGATAAGGGCAGGAAAGCACGTCGAAGTATTCAGTGTGAGGGAGATCGTCGCTGGAAAGTGTCCGTCCGTCAACTGGCTTCAAGTGCCCTTTCCAACGCTGGGGAGACCTACGACGACCTACGAGAACACCTAAGTTGACATCATCACCACGAGTGTCGTAAGAAGAAGTCTGCAAGCCGTCTAACCCTGCTACTTAACCCGCCTCATTCTACTCGTCCCCTCCAACTCCCCGTTAGGAACTAACGCCAGTCCAGCTGTCCTTCCCGCTGCCCAAGCCCATCCTAACAAGGCCGTCCTCTCCGCCAGTCCAGCCCCTCCCCATACGGTTTCCTCACAAACGCCCCATAGAGGTTACCAAACCCTCTCGCGTCTCCTCCCCCTCGCCTTCATCGACAATCAACAACCTCGCCTTCATCGACAATCAACAATCCACTCCGTCACCCCCTCGACGCTACCAACAAGCCACAACGACCCCCCCCTGCCCATTCACCAACATTCCACCAACATTCCACTCTGA